TATTTCCCTACATTGCCAAAATTTACTTTATTTTTGTTAAAAAAAAGTATAAAAACGCGAATTACAAAAAATAGCATAAAAAACACGTTTCATAAGACTTAAAGCACTCATTCATTAAAAAACTCGTGGCTTCGCCACTCGTTTTTCAACTTGAATTCGTGTATTTCAAGCGTGTCTTACGAAACTTGTTTTTTAATATACTATTGTCTAAATCGATTGATTTTCGAGTTATTTTCTCATGCAATGGCTGTGCATAGTTGTATTCAAAAATTCATAACTTCGAAATTTGAAGATTCGATTAAATACGTCAATTAGTTCTCGAGATAAGAATTATTAAAAATTAATTACTTTTATTTTATTATGTAGAGTTGAATTCAAAAAGTCATAACTTCGAAATTTGAATCTCCAGTGTGTTAAATATTAACAAAATGTGCTTTAATTTGCCTCTTACTTTATGGTGATATCTCAATTATGTGAATTCTCATGAATGTTTAATGATTAATTACATTTGGTAATGCCTAGTCCTTCACGGATGGAAAAGTATGGGTTGCTCTGGTCGGTCCAAGATTTCATCCGTTCTTCCTGTTGCTTCCCTTTGGAAAGGGACAGACGTTTCGCCAAGATCTTACCTGGCATCTTCAGTACGCTGTCGTAGTCTCCTATCGGCAGACTGCTCAGAATACCGTTTTTTTTCATTAACAGCTCGTCAAACTACGAATTCTTCCAATTTTAAAATTTTCGAATATTTCTCTACATTGCTGCAGCTGAGAGCAAAAGCGTTAGAGAGCAATGTGTAAAGGCTAAAGTTTGCAACAACTTTTGTTGTAAAAGTTATTCTGTATCATGCTCGGAATACGTTTTTTTCCAATAGCAACTTGTGAAACTACGAATTCTTCCAATTTTCTAATTTTCGAGTATTTCTCTACATCAGTGGTGTCCATAACGTCGATCGCGATAGACCGGTCGACCGCGAAGCTGTTTTGAGTCGATCGCCAACAAAATCATGAATTTGAACTAAGATTTTAAACCCTTCGGTCGATCTTGATCAAAAATTAGTAGACACCACTACTCTACATTGATGCAGCTGAGAGCAAAAGTGTTACAAAGCAACGTTTAAAGGATAAAATTTTTATGAAATTTGTTTTATTGTAACTAACATAAACATTATAAAATATTAATTAAAATGTTTATTTATTTAACAAATTATGACATTGTGATTATGATTTCATTAAATTAATGAATAGTTTGTTATTTTACATTAAAACACAAACTAAATTATAATGAAAGGTGTGAAAATTATTGGAGTATATAATGAGACGATGACGCCAATGGTTATCCATGTAGCCGCTTTCTGAAGTTGTTTAATTTAGTACAGTCTGTTGGGCTTAAGAAGTTCTGTGTATTTCTCGTTTGAATGCACAAGTTCTATGGAGAAGACGAAGCGCGGTGTAATGTTTTAGTATTCAGGGTACATAGCGCGACGAGATCGCAGCATTAAGATGACGTTTCATGTGCGCGAGATGTACGTGTAACGCACAACGTCCAAAGAGTGTGCAAAAAGTTTATAGACACTTCAAAACAAATTTATTAATAATGTGCTTTTACAAGTAATAAAATTTGAACGGCACAATTTTCCCGACTTATTCACTTAACGATTTGTTTTGATGTAGTTTAATTATGTTAATTAATGTACATTTATAATATTATTGTATGGGTGTTTTTAACGTAAAATAACGCATAAATCGGCTTTTCCCTATAATTTTAGACACTCGTTCAATTTGTAAATTACACATACCCAAAGCGAATTTGCAATCTGTATTTTTGAATTTTTTTGTTTCCAATTGCGATTCTTTTTTCTTTTTTCCTCCCGAATTGCACGAGAGCGATCCTTGCGCTGTCATTAACAAAATCCATTACAGTAATTTAATTAAAACACTGGGCGTTCTCCCCGTTGCTACGGCGAGAGTAACCGGACAGTACGATAAATTAGCAATTGTTCCGTATTTACTGTTAATATATACTGCAGTGTTTAATTCGGCCTCAGAGAGAGGCTGCGAAAATGTAATGAAGGGCGAGAGTGAATGCGAACACGGGACAGAAACGTCGGTCCTAGGTTGCTTTTGAAAATTTATTGTGTTGGTCTTTTACGTGGTTACATTTATTTTATTTACAGAAAATTCTTAACAAATATAAGTCTCATTATGAAAATTTTTCATCATTTTGCTTTTCTATACAAAACTTTTATATTATCTTTGCTAAGTAACAGCGTACTGAGGATCATATCATGAGGATTAAGTAATAATAATAATAATAAACTGCCTTTATTTCCAGAGTAAAGAGAACAAACAATAATAATAGTAACTATAGTTACTATAATGCAAAATAAAGATAATCAAAAAAGAAAAAAAAACAATATTTAAAAAGAAAAATAACTTAAATACAAAACAGGTGGAAATCCTAAGGCGAAGTTCAGAATGCGACCATAATATGGCCCGCTTCTGCTCTTCCACTTAACCTTAAAAATAATTGCACTTTTATTCAATCGTAGTACATGCCTACTCCTAAAAACTAAAACTATTAATTGATTCTGCATTATAATCTTCATTTCACTTATAATCTATCTTATATATGAGCTAATAAAATAAAAAATAATATAATGAAATAAAACAAAAACAAATTATTCCACTTGCATTAAAATTAGATTGATCCACTACAAAGCAAACAAGAAGTCACTGTCGCTCAAATAAATGCCTAAACAATAACGTTCTGAAAGCACCCTCCCTTTTGGCCCTAATGGTGACGGGGATAGAATTATACAGCTTATAGGCACAGTAGCTAAACGCACGACAAAACAGAGCTGTACTATGAGCAGGCGGATTAACAACATTTTTATTTCTAATATTTATACTGTGTAGATCCCCTCTAAACTGAATCTTTTTACTCAAATAATTAGGCGAGCCAGTTGTGACAACCTTGTGATACAGCACTGAAGCCTGTAGAGTATAACGATTGTGAATATTCAGCCAAGTTAACTCTTTAAGCTTATGAGAGATTCTTTCAAATTTTTTAATTCTGAATATATATCTCATACAAGCGTTCTGCACTCTTTGCACTCTCAATCTATCCATGGAATCCAAACATGGATAGTAGACAGGAATACAATAATTAAGCAAAGACAGTACAAAACATTCACAAAGCACCTTTTTCATTTTTAAATTAAAAATATCTTTGAAAGAATAGAGTAATTTTAATTTCAAAAAACAAACACTTAATGTTTTAGTAATGTGCTGTTTGTACCTAAAGGCATTATCAACAACTAGCCCAAGATTCCTTGCCTGATCAACAATAGGTATATTGCAACCGTTCAACCTAAGAATCAGATTAGCTTTCAATTTCTCGACTTCCACATTTCTGCCAAACAGAATAACTACACTTTTATCAGGGTTTAATATCAAGGCGTGATTCTTTGCAAATTCACTGACATTCGCTAAGTCCTTATTAATTTTCCATGCTGCCCCCTCATATTCACGAAACGGAAAGTTGTAGTATAGCTGAGTGTCGTCAGCATACATATGAATTTTACAATAATTGACAGCTTTTGGAAGCATAGATGTGTATAAACAAAACAGCAAAGGACCTAACACCGACCCCTGCGGTACTCCACGCTTCAGCTTCAATGGTTCAGAAATTAAGCCATTGACCTGTACACATTGGCATCTGTCTATTAAATACGTCTTAATCAACCTTATAAATTCCTCCCCGCCTCCAATATAGTGAAGCATCGACAGCACAATATCATGGTCAACAACATCGAACGCTTTGCTAAAATCCAACAACACTAAAGCGGTGCACTCTTTACCGTCTTTGGCCTTTAATATATCGTCAGTGACATTTAAAAGTGCAGTTGTGCAACTACGTCCAGGCACAAATCCCGATTGACAGTCTGGTAATATATCATTTGAAATAATAAAGTTTTTAAATTGGTAGGAAATAACTTTTTCCAGTACTTTGCTCAAGGTAGGAAGAATAGAAATCGGTCGCAGGTGCTTAAAGTCAGTAGGTTTTTCGATTTTCGGTATTGGAATGACCACAGCAGACTTCCACTGCGAGGGAAAATGTGACTCAATTATGCAGCTGTTTATGAGATGTGTGATATATGGAAGGGCATAAGGAACTATTAATTCAATCATCGGCGCAGATATGCCATCAGAGCCAACAGACTTACTGGTGATTGACCTGATAATGCCAAATACCAAAGTATCGCAGTAAAACTCGCCAAACGCTAGACGATATTCAAACATTTCTTTACGGTTGATGTCACGCACTAAACAATAACGTGCGGACTCAAATCTCCAGATCGTCTATCAAACGTAACCACGTGGCAGGGTATTTGATAGATCAAACTCACTAAACATAAATAATTAAAAGATAAGACGACTCCGATTAGGTGATTAGAAGATTCTTAAGTGAACTACAATGCAATTTTGGTTAATGAACGTTTCTAAATCGTCCCAAACCGAAAATGCTGTAATTGGATTTAGAAAATTGTCCAATTAATTCTCCCGAATCCCGCCTGACCCCGTGAAATAAACGTCACACCTTCACGACTCTATTAGAGGGGTTCAGCGAGCACGTGCCACTTTTATTCAACCATTACGTTTCGTTTTTTTTTGTCCGCCGACAAGCTCTTCGCTGCAACGAAAGCTTCTTTCCAATTTGGCGGGTTTATATTGGTTTTCAGTGTTGTTTTCCAATTCAGACGCGTGAGTGGCGGACGGCAAAGAATTATTGTAGAGTGTTCTCAAACTTCACAAAAATGATGAAAAAAGCTTAACTGTACCGAAAAAAAAACCCTTTCCACAGCTCCAACTGGGCGGCCGCAATTTACCGAATTAAAACCAGTAAAAAGCACTCGGCGTCCCCGTTTTTTATTGGCCGAGTCGTTAAGAATCTTCCGCGGGAAATTTTTGATAGGACTAAAATTAAAATATTCACGGAAATTTACGTTTTAAAATATGTTTCCGTTTATTTTCGTATTAAACAATACAAGTTTGGAACAATGCCCTAGTAATTATAATTATCTAAACCCACGTTGTTGCGGTGTGTTCGAAATATGTTCAAAACACAGTTATCAAAGCAAAAACACCGTATAGAAGCCCACACGGGTACATTACAAGGGGCTGTTGATGGTCCATCGATAAAGCGACCACGAAGAGTTTCGAGGCCGAAAGACTACACCAGAATATAGCAAACGAGGTTAAAACCGTTCCTATGTAACCCCTGAAAATCACAGAAAAATTTGTAATACGATATTATCGCATCATTAAAGGAGATAATAATATACTTACTGTAAGCTGAAGACGACGTTGATGCCAGACAAACCCACCATTGGGAGTATACAGTATCCCAATACGGTCACGACCGTGCCTAGAGATACTCCTGCCGTTGACATCAGATTTAGAAGGGCCCAAACAGACACGCATCCAAGCACACCAATCCCGTAAATGTAACCGAAGTGCACCTTTCCGGACTGTAACCAACAAAAAATCAAGAAAGGTCGTTTTCGTGCAACATTTTACCCATTTTTAATGGAGCCCATTAAACGTTGTAAGGATTGCACAAGGAATGCTAAGAGGAGGAAACGGTTTGTTGACTGACGGAAGGGATTCTTGCTGTTTGACGTGATAGTCGTTTTGTTCATTTCAGAAGATGCTGCGGCTCGAATACGGTAGGTAAATGGGATAAAGTTTAGATTAGAATATTCCACTTCGCCTCGGGAACCGTGCGATTAAACGTCTGAGTTAAAAATCTTTCTTTTGGGTTTTTTCTTTCTCGTCCTCTCTCCGGGGTAAGCAATTATCAAGGTAAATTAATGCAACCGGTTCAAGAACCCGAATAAGAAGACGAAAGAACGATACTCGTACCCCATCCAAATTATCCCCGTAAGATTCCCTTTTAACCGCTCAAACAGAACCTAAAAAGGAATTCAAGGCAACTAACCGTGGTGAGGGAATTGCAGAAGCGATTCCCTTAATGAGTACCTACGTGGCACTAACTCACGTTCGGTTGATGTTTCATTTTGAAGGGTGAAGTGAAATCCTTTGTGTGAAAAGCCAACAAGGACCATATCGAGAACTCGAGAATTCCATGATGAATAATGCCGCGAGCATCCATTAGATTAGCGAAGCGCGAAGTGAATACGGTAGGAAAAACTAATATCTATTTAAACTTAAAAACTAACAACACGCGACATCTTTTTAACGAAACACTTACCAACAACAAAAATCCCCCAAAAACCAAACAGAAAACTAACGGTCCAGCGAAATCAGTATCTTTTGCAGCTTCCTCCTCAGGTGTTCTCAAAGGATTCAAAACAGTTAACGTCTGAAACAAGAAATATCGATTTTTAGTATTCATCCACCTACCACCCCATAGATGGCGCAAAATCAAATTTAAAGTTTTCAAAATCATGTTTTAGGTGAGTTGGACTTTAGATGTCGCTGTTACCTTAAAAATTTAATATAGATTCCTTTCTATGAACACCAAGTTCCGACAGTAAAAAAAAGTTATATAAAGAAAGGAGAAAAAGGAGTGTGAAAAGGGGTGAGTACAAAACTTCGCCCAGTCGTCCGAAATGAAACTTCTTTTGCATTGTAACGAAAGGTTCTCACACGCCGGTCACGTAACGTTTGGGTTTCCCTCTTTCGAGGAAGGCCTTAGGGTCCGGGCGGTTTAAAAAGTTTTACAACGTAAACACAAGGACAATTGGCTGTCTCTCACGGAGCCTTTTACCACTTAGAACCGAACACTTAGATTGAAGTGTCGAATAATAATGTATTTAAAAGTTTTCTAAATAAAAATGTTGTAATTATTAACTACTTATTGTATATGTGAAAAGGTGGCACAAGTTATTCTAAGAGGTCAACATCGAAATTCACCCCGCGTCGCATATTTTATATCGTTGGGAGTTCCGCAGGCATTATTTGAAGTTCGCCAAGTTATTGCATGAGGGACATCTATCCGGGCTATAGGTATTTGTGTGTATGTGAGCCGGCCACTGCCTGTTTGTCGGAAGGTATATATCCTACGAAAATTGCGAGTAGATTCCGGTCACGAACTCAAGACCCCTCGCACACGATTTGAACTCAGCACTTTTACTAACAGTTCGAAGGGCTGAAGGACTGTCGGAGACAGATTTGGTTGAGGAAAGGTCCCCAGTTTCCCGATGTATAACTAAATCAATCTGAACGTTGCAAATGTTGCACCTTGGGTTGTAGTTGCAGACACTTAGTGAGGTTAATAACGGTTGCGATCGCCAACGCTCTTAGTTGCGTAGGTTAGAGGGTTTAGGGGAGTGTATTTATTAAACATTACCCACCCGCCGGTAACTTCGACAATACCCGAAGTTCCTCAACAATAATTACATCATGTCAAGGAAGTTTAGAGCATTTATAATATCCCGCCGGATCCTAGTGCAACGGTACGCCATCCATCAAGAGCGATGATGATAAGATTTCCTCGCTAACTCAGGATCTATCCATCGGCTTAGGGAATTTGGTCCAATTAGTGTTAGTTTTACCATTTACAGGAATCACCGCAATTAATAATAATCCCCATAAGAGGAATTATGGTATCGACAGATAGGTGGGGGCACGTTGATGGACGCGTGAACAATACAGTTAATTACAGAGAAAACAAGTACCAGTGCGAACAAATGACGTTCCATCTCGGCGAGGAAACACTTTCGGTGACACGCGATTTGTGCCTCTGACGTGCCATCTATTGTTTAAACCAAATTAAATTAAACCGCTATATGATCCTTTCATCAATTTAAATAAAATCCCTAATTGCATTCTACATTCTATGAGTAAATCTTTACTCCGAGACACATAGTTTACATAGATGCTTCCGGAGATTATTCATAAGTCTCGACAGTTTTGGTGATCGATAATGTGAGGCATGCGGCCGTCGTACTCTGGCATTCTCCGAGACATGTGCTATCGGATGCTTACTCGGCTATTCAGGTTTGACTGGGAACTGATAACTCGTTACCAGCGATGTAATTGAACTTCTCTGTTAAGTATAATAACCTGGGCGGGTCGGGACGTTACCCGCCTTGAATTACAAAATCCGTTCGGGGGGCGACGACGCTGTGACCGGAATAGCTCGTTAAGTTAACGGGGCCGTTCCACGGATCGACGAGTTTATTATGATAATTCGACCAGGATTATTCCCAAAGTTATCGGCGGCCATCGAAAACGTCTCCTAATGATGTGGTTTTGATTACAAATAACACATTTTAAAGTCAAGAATAGTTATTTGTAATACGAACAAAAGTCATTAATCGTATTGTTTACAAAATAGTATGATTAATTTAATAAAAATATGGAATGTTTAAAAAATCGTTGAAGAGCTATTTATAGAAATATCATCAAATTAAAGCTTATAAATTAACTTAATTAGCTTATTATTATTATTTACTTATTATTCCTCTTGGTTATATAATAAAGAAATAAAAAAAAAATTATTAAATTGTGTATAGATCTTTGAGATGTTAAAATGCAGAAAAATCTTTAAAAAATCGTGGAGAGGTTGCTCATGAAAATTATAAAGTTATTTTGATTTCCGCTTAAAGCTGGAACATTCTTCTTTAAAATAATACATAAAACATCATCTTAGCGTTTTCCACTTAACCTAAAAATCGTGAAATTTTATATATATAAACTGACCGGCAAAAAAAACCGGCCACTATAAATTAGCCACAACTTCAAAGCTGGCTTTCTCGCGAACCGCGCATTCATTTTTGATGATTCTTTTTTTAATGGAAAGGTTGATTCTTTTGTAATAATCCTGCGATAGAAATTTTGATTCTGATTTTAATTTGAACATATACGGGTTGAGAAAAATGAGAAAAACTTTTTTTCTCGAAATTTGTAACACCCTGTGGGGTGCAGCTGCTACAGCAGAGGGTACTACCTGGAATCAAACAGTAGCCCAATCTTTTCTGCGCATTTTCTTTTTTTATTCACTCTATTATCTCTGTTACTAACGAAGATGCAGTATTTTAAAGCGATTGCCTGTGAAAACAAGATGAGTGACAATAGCAGCTGATGACCGTTTTATTGTTCTAAGCAATCGCAGAACGACAGCTATAGAAGCTCGGCGTCGTCTTCAAATGGTGCATGTTGTTGATGTCAGTGAGAGAACCATTTGCTGAAAACTTGCTAGAAGTAATCTGGCTGCAAGAAGGCTGCCAAAGGACCGAGGCTGCTTCCAAGATATCGACGAGCCCGTCTTCAATCTGCACGCTTACATGTGAATTGGGAAATCGAGCAATGGAGGAAAGTCCTTTTTACGGATGAGTAGTGGTTTTGTCTACTATCAACAATAAAATGGGAGGACACGACAGCTTCTTGCAGAATATCTTGGATATAACGTTGGGCATTTAGCGTGCCATTTTCAACAAAGATGAGCGCTTCCGTCGAAATACCTGCCCATACCATGACCGAACTTCCATGGAAAGGTACTCTTTCCGAAATTGTGCAGGTCGCAAAGCTTTTATTACGACGTCTCCACACTCATACTCGACCATCAGGTGAACGGAGACAAAATCGGGACTCGTCAGTGAAGAGCACCTTACTCCATTGTTCCATTCCCCAATTTGTATGTACGCGCCCAAATTCTTCAATTTGGTGCTCGCCGATGTCTTTGGAGCAGGCGCTGTGTTTTGGCAGGTCTTCTTGCAGTCAGATCACTTTCAGCAAGTCGTCGACGAATGGTTCTTTCACTTACATCAACCCCACGCACCATTTGAAGACGATGCCGAGTTTCTACAGCTGTCGTTCTACGATTTCTCAGAGTTTTTAGAATAATAAATCGGTCATCAACTGCCGTTGTCACTCATAAAAAAAAAAAGTAAAATTTCCTGTTTCCACATATCGGTTCTAGGTATCCTGAACTGTTGTTCGTGGTATACCCAACGTATAGACAACGTACCGCTGACTTTTGCCATCTTCAATTAAAGTAACAATACGGGCAACATCAGTTACTGACAACGGCATCTTTAACAACCGTCAATTTACTATTCGAAACAACTCTCATACGCTACCTAGCGCTCCACCTTAGATTTGTTATGCTTGTTTGTTTTGTTTTCACAGGCGTTCGCTCTAAAACACTGCATCTTCGTTAGTAGTAGAGATAATAGAGTGAATAAAAAAACAAACTGTTTGAAGATTGAAAAGATTGGGCTACCGTTTGATTCCAGTTAACACCCTCTGCTGTAGCATCTGCACCCCACAGGGTATTACAAATTTCGAGAAAAAAAATTATTCTCATTCTTGCACCCCGTATATGCTCAAATTAATGTCCGAATAAAAATTTCTATGGCAGGATTGTTACAGAAGAATCAACCTTTCAATCAAAAAAAGAATCATCAAAATCGAAAGAGTGGTTCGCCAGAAACCCTGCTTTGAAATTGTGGCTAAATTTTAGAGGCCGATTTTTTTTGCCGGTCAGTGTATATATATGTCGCAGGCAAATGGTTATTTCAAGCAGATAGCTTTTTCCTAGTCAGATACTGTCTACCTAGGCAAACAGTAGTTCGTTACAGTTTTATCATTAAATGTCTAGGCAAATACTATTGGATAAGACAAATAGTATCTGTCTAAGCTTGTTTTAGGCAAATACCTTTTTTTAACGATTTATTTCTTGAAGACTTAAATATTAAATACAAAAATTTATCTACTTGTTTTGACAATAATTGTTGCTGGAATCGCATCTACTATTGCACATCATCTTATTTTTGAAACAAGTACCTACACCTTTTTGGACTGCACTGAAATTTCGAAGGCTGGCACTGGCATTTTGACATCTCTTGCCCAGAAAACAGTGACTGTGAAGTGCATTCCTGGGGTTGAGTTGGGTTGGGTTAGAGAGCTATTTGCCTGAAAATATTTTAGCCATAGGAAAGAAGAATTGAGACTGAAATAAATGGAATAAAACTATTTGCCAAGGCAGATAATATCTGACTAGAAAAAAGCTATTTACCTGAAACAACCATTTGCCTGCATTCAATATAATGAAAACAGTTTTTTCAATTTAATTGAAAAAAATCTTTTTTAATGTATTATTTTAATATTAAAACCACATTTTATTGATATTATTTATTCTGATTTAAATAACGATTCTAAATGGCTTTATATAAAATGATATTAAAATTCATGTAAATATTAGTTTAAACGTGGCGTAATTTAACGTGCTATCGAGCGAGTGATAAAAATAAATATATTGTATAATTAGACGGAATTACCAATATTTATTAATTTTGTTATGTATAATAATTGTTTGATATACGATTTATTTAATAACTAAATTCTGGTTGAATA